TAATGGTGCTTAGAAACAACTAAGATATATATTTATGACCCAGAAATTTTTTCTGCAATAAAATGTAGGATTGATTTCCTACAACAGTCAAATTCAAGGGAATATTTTTTTCGACCCTTTTTCGTATGCAACCGGATGTGACGTACTATGATTTGGTGGTATTACACCTAAAGAACAGAAATTAAAGACCATCATCAAGACTCTCCTTATTTGCACTGTGAATATATACATATGTAGTCACTAACTGCTAAGGGCATCTGGGATACGGAGTGAGAGGTTTGACGCTGTTAATCCATATTTTGCCTTAATCAGTGGAGTATTATGATTGAATGATTGGTGTTTAACGCCACTTTCAACACTATTGCGCTATTTCGTGACGGTCAGTTTTTATTGGTGGAGGAAGCCGGAGAGAACAACCGAACTTCGGTAGGAAAACTGACAATCCTAGTCAATTAATATTGGAGTCGAGTGCAGGGATTCAAACTCACCACCTCAGTGTTCAGGCGGAAACCCAGTTGAAATAGAACAAAAGAATCGAAGCTCTTTGTTAGAGAAGGCGATAAATGCTTACTGTAATGTTTACTGTAGTAACACAAAATTTAAAAGTTAATAGAAACAAATAAAATGACAGTTTTTTGCTAAATTACGAAATATTTTATCATAAAAACACAATTTGCATAAGTTTTCAATTTATCTATTACATAATTAAGCAGAACAATTAGATATCAAGTCGAAGACATGGGTTTTTATTAAGTTGGATCTAAAAAATGCATAACCTCCGATTTTTCAAGAAAATTTACCACGGACGGAGAACATATCAATCTATTTGTTCCTTAATTTTCGTTTCTGCCCTTCCATTATGTGACTCAAAGAAAAAATTCCAAAAAAATGGATAACAATTGCATCGAAAAGAGAAAATCGAGTGCACCTTTTTATGTTAGGGCGTGTTTGAGTTGAATATTTTGTCTTGAAAACGTAAATAGCAAAAGTATTTGATACATCATCTCGCTTCAGATTCTATCATTTTTATATATCAATGCTACAGGTTAACTTTAAAGCCTCAAAAATTCACAGTACTAAAAAAAATGAAATATATAGGTCAAGTGAAATACCCTTCTAATGAATCATAAAAACAGAGTAGGTGTGTTCGAATAGCAAATTTTTACTAAAAGTACTTGACGACAGACTTTTAAGTTGGATCTTAAAAATGCATATCTTCGAAAAAACTTCATTTTTTGTGTGTGATATCTAGGGTTTAAAGTCTTCAACCACTGAAAATTTTTAGTCTGCCCTTCCACGAAATATTGAATTAGATTTTTTTAAATGTTTACGAATTTTCGAAAATTCCACCTGACAACCGATCAGACAATAGTTTTAAGTTGACTGAATGCAGACAAGTACATTAACTGATGCTCATTAGCTAGTAGATACATTTGTCTTTTAAAATACAACTGGCATATAAGGATCGTAATGATGCTATGCGGATAAATTTATCGATTTTCAAGAGCTAAATTGGCAGCGCGTCATCCATACAATGGCCACTCGACTCCAATCTTAATTGACTAGGATTGTCAGTTTTCCTACCGAAGGTCGGTGGTTCTCTCCGGGCACTCCGGCTTCCTCCACCACTTAAAACTGACCGCCACGAAATAGCACAATAGTGTTGAAAGTGGCGTTAAACACCAATCAATCAATCAATCAATCCATACAATGGCTTCCATTTTTACGATTGTAAAAATGAACTGGCGTAATGGGGAGATAATTTTGACGAAGTAGAATCCTGACTGTGTTGACTGGCTAGTGATACAGTAGTTCGATTACTTAGGCCACTCGGCAACCGAGGTCCCCTAGAGTAATATGAGCCAATAGACTATCATCATATTACTGACTTTTGACTCCGCATTATACAATTTTTCGACCGGTACCCTACTCTATGGTAGGACAATCTGGTACTCGGCAAGGTATGAGTATAACTAACAGTGTGTAGTACCACCACCGGATATAGGTCCCCGAAGCGGTGGAAAAACAAAATGTATAGTCAGGTAAGCGGGTCAAATTATTCTTATTTCTATCATATTCTGCGTTTTGCTGACAAGTAAAGTTTTGTGAAACGGATTGTTAATAATGTAGCTACTTTTCAGTGCTGATTATTATCCTTAATGGACTTTCTCTCTCTTCAAATCGTTAGATTCGGACCAGGTGGTACCAGTCCAAAGAAGCATGTGACGAGTTCAAACTTGTTAAAACGCATATTTATCCTTCAACAACTAATTCGACGTTTTCGTAGAACAAATCTATATTATATTTAAATTTGAACAACGCTCCATTTCGACATAAATATAAAAAAGAAGGTGTGGTATGATTGCCAATGAGACAACTCTTCACAAGAGACCAAATGACACAGAAATTATAACAACTATTATAGGTCACCGTACGGCCTTCAAATATGAGAAAAGCCCATACCGCATAGTCAGCTATATGAAATGACAAATGTAAAACAATTCAAACGAGAAAACTAGCGGCCTCATTAATGTACAAAAACAATGAACGAAAAACAAATATGTAACACAGCAATAAACGACAACCACTGAATTACAGGCTCCTGACTTGGGACGGGACAGGCACATACATACAGAATGTGGCGGGGTTAAACATTCTGGCGGGATCCCTCTCCCCTCCTAACCTGGGACAGTGGTGTAACAGTACAACATAGATACGAACTATAAAAATCCGTTTGAAAAGGCTTAACTCATCAGATGGATACAAATAGAAATACATCTAACAAAAACACAGATTGGGCATGGCCGGGTACTTGTACATCCCAACAACAAAAAGACATTAAGTACAGATCTGTTAGTACTAACAGTTACTGACAGCTAGTTCAAAGCCAATAACAATTAATAAAAAAGTCATGTATCTAAGACTAAATTATTAATCAGTACACATCCAACATCCCATGGATTTAGTGAAAAGACGTCATAAACAGTCAGAGAAAAACATGACCTTGTGCAATGCTAAGATACAAGTATCGACAGATTATAGATCCATGAAAGTGCATATGTATATAACAATAATATTTAGTTTGCTTTTAATTTACTGATAAACAAATCAATATCAATACCAATAAAAACAATATTAAAAGATCTAATTACAGTGTTGAATTGGTAACCTTTTAGAATAAGTATCGATAAGTTTACCAGGATCGTTTCTAAATTTCCGGGCACGGTGAACAACATCTCCGTAAACGGCATTTTTTTTTTCAGAGAAATTCGTCTGAATAAAAATTGATAAAGTGTACGGCGATTAATTTTTTATTGTACGGGGATAGAATTTATACTTTTTGCTATCATTCAGTGGCGGATCCAGAATTTTTTATAAGGGGGCACTGAGTCTGACTGCTTAAGAGGGTGTCCGCTCCAGTCATGCTTCAGTGATTCCCTAAAAAATCTACCATTTTTCCCACAAAAGGAGGGGGCGCATGACAACTGGATCCCTACTTTCGCTTCTGTCATTGTTTCTTTGCTTCGGGACTACCTATATCCGGTGGTGATGCTACACAATGTCTATAAGAAGTAAAATAAAGCTTACTATCGGTGCAATTTTAGGAAAATATGTATTGTTCTATGTAACAGTAACCCCCCCCCCCCCCCCCAATATTGTAATGAAAAATACACATCGTACTCCATAGATAGAAAAAGGGTGCCACGGTGAAATAAATGTAATGGTGGATAATACAATTAACTTCAAATAGAATTGATTCATGCTTAAAATGTTCTTTGGGAAAATTATGAACAAGGGGAAATAAAATGATAGATTAAAAAACGAATAATGCATGACGAGAAAAATAACTTTATAAAAGGTGCAATATTTTTACGGGAGAACATCTGACGTTGATGAAGAAAGACTGCTCAGGTTTGATTTATAACAGATAATATGGGAATATATGAAACCCATTTAGGGAGCAACCATGTAACTTCAAAGGAGGAAAGAGGGGGGTGTGGTTTATGTTTTTTTCAAAATTTAACAATATAAGATATGGGCTAAAAAAAATACATAACACACACCCCCTCCCTCTTCCCCCCGGAAGTTAAATGGTCGTCCCCTAAAATGTAAAACTCGTCGACATTATGACTTACATGCAATAATAAACTTATGACATCGACTCCATCTGACACAGTCGACATGCGTCTCCTTAGCAGCCTCAATAAGTATGGCATCAGGCAAAAAAAGCAGAAAAAGGATATAAAATAGACGACACCATTGAGAAAATAGCGAGAGAGGGTAAAAACGAAGAGATACAGCATTTTGAAGTCTGAAAAGGTATATATATAATTTCATAAACAGAATCAACTATTTCAAATAAAATAATTTCAAAACCTCATTTCTCCATTTTCTCTCACACAACCAAAAAGAAGAAGAAATATTTTCGACATTTTGATACGCCCTTCTTATTTTTCAAGCAGTGTAGGGTATGGGTGGCGGTATAGGCGAATATCTAATAAATAGTGGATAAAAGGCAGTAATATAGGATTGGCGGTATAGGCGAATATCTAATAAATACTAGTAGTAGATAAAAGGCAGTAATACAACCAATTTCATCATCCTTTGTGGAAAATCGAATCAACCATAAACAAAGAGGGTATTATATAGATTGTGTGTGAAAGAAAATAGTGCAATCAGGGGATAAACATTGCATATTCTGGAGACTAGGAGGATGTTTTTGCTCTTTGAATATTCATTTTCCTATGTTAGTGTGCATGGTTATTTTTTCACTTTCGTAGACAAATATTTCGGGTATTTTTTTTAGTTTCAAAATATATACTTTCGAAATCCACCTTCACCCGAGAAAATCAAACGGACGTTCCCTCAGGCAGTTGTTATCAAAACACAACGTTTTGATTTACAGCACTGTATTTTGGTGTGTAAATGACAAAATTTCCATCACATGATAACACCGAGTAAATCTACAGTCTTGATTGCTTTCAGATAAAAGAATCACAATTGAGAAAATATTTATTCAAAAAATCATCTTGTTTCATGCTTAGTCAGTTATAATATATGTACAGTAATTGGCTTAAATGACAATAGATCTCCTGCTGGCAGTGGCATTCCGTTTATATATATATATATATATATCTGTTCAAACTACTTTTTGCCTATGCCTAACAAACCGTTGCCTCCTAACAAACCGTTGCCTTTGCCTACAATAAATAAATAAAATAATATCTTCTAAATTCTTTTTAACACATTATAGCTTTAATCTTAATCACAAATCATATTTTGCTTATATTCTTGTTTTGAATGTTTCATATTCAAATTAATTACATTTAAACACACATTGCTTTACATGTTGCATACCAAGTACTAAATCTATATTTGGAACATCTCTGCAGTCAATTTTAGTTCATATTCAATCTCTGTTTGGAACATCTTTGCACTCCTCTGTTATTAGTTCATATTAAATCTCTGTTTAAAACATCTCTACATTTATCTTAATCATGACCTCATGAACTTTCGTGTCCTTGTATCAATACTAATAATGTACTCTAATACATAATGTTTGTTGAGGGGCCAGCTGAAGCCCGCTTCCGGGTGCGGGATTTTCTCGGGAAAATAAACGCTGAATCCCGAATTCCGGCAGACGGCAAATATTTTGACAAATTTATATCTTTATCCATGCAGTAGCAGTTTTTGAGTAACGGAAATTTTACGATCATTGAATCCCGAGGTATCAATACAAACACGCGAATATGAAAACTAAGTTGGAAATATACACTCCGTAAAAAGGGACCTTGTGACCAACAGGACAATAACACCAAGGAAAGGAAAATTTACAATAAGAAAGGAAATTCCCAATAGCACAGAAAGAAGTCGTCCCGTTTATCACATATTTTCTATGTGAAATCAATATCAATGTCTAAAAAAGACCATCGTTCATTATTAAGTCCCCCAAATTAAGTCCCCCAAATAAAGTCTGGAAAACTCCTATAGTCAGATATACTTCAGGTTCAACAATACGTTAGGCTACCATGTCAAGTTGTCCAATCAGTGGTTTTTATTTTGTGCATTGGGTCTATTTAGGGCTTATTTGTTTGGCAAAAAAAGAGATTTTGTACATTTATGTTTGAATGATTATAACTTGAGAGCAGTAAGTGATAGCCACATAGGCTTTTAGTAATGAGCATGGGATGAAGACCCATCCTAAACCATATAATTTCTGCTCTGACACGAAAAGATGCATTAAATGATATTAAAAAGAAGTCCCCATTCTTTTTTAAGCTTTGCCACACATTGGGGTTACTAAGTATAAAGAAATATTTCTGCAACATGAGTGGGGCAGTTAGTTCCCATCGGATTTCCAATCACTTGTCGTTATACTTAATCTCCAAAATGAAAATAAAATGTATCAAGCAATAAATACATGGCGTCAAACAATAGACCACTTTCGAGTTATGTCCCTCACCACCAGAAAAAATCGTCAATTATGCGCGCCTGTATGACGTCATTTACCAGATAGAGGGGATCGCCTGTATCCCTGCACTATTAACGTTCATCAAGCGTCTTAGTGATCATCATTGTGCAGGATAAACTTGAAATAATATGTTTCCGTAGGTACTTAATCACAATTCCCTAATGACAGCAGTGCTGATTGTCAATTATAAGAATTAAATTTCCGAATAATTCATGCAATATAGCATCATATTTTTCTAACCACTCTCTCAACATGGGAACGAAAGTGACGATGCCCCTATACGCACGAATGATGTTCACTAAAACCAAAGTTTTTTTGACGGAAATGCATCGAACTCGAAAGTTGTCTGTTAATTGCATGTCCAGTTTATGTATTTGTGTGAGTGTTATTACTGAAAAAGGAATTTCATCAATTGTCACAGATATAGGTACACTCAGATTTTTTTTTTTTGAAATAGGAATCTTCTCCTTAAGGATGTACTAAGGTGAAATTTTAAAAATCTAGATTTTAAAATTGATACTTTAAGTCAGAACAGCATTAGTTAAGGAACAAAATAAGCTAAAAATATTGATAGGTTATGGAGCTCCTTTTCGAGATATTTAATTTAAAAAAAAATGGCTTTTACCTCATGCTCGCATTGGTACTATTTGGGCCTCAAACCGAAAGAAAAGAAATTTAGAATTTGCTTAAATTTTGGTAAATGACCTTCTATGAGCCATTGATGTCTTATATGAACAGAAAAATGGGTGTTATGAGGCAAAATATTTTACCCTGTATCGTGAGAAAAAAACCAAGGAGTCCGAACATCTGACAAAATTCCTAAATCTCACCTAAGTACATCCTTAATAAGATTGCGCGGTATAAAAGTTTAAAATATACATTGAAAGGAACCAATACTATAGTTCATCTGATACTTCCAAAGAGTGTTTCACTCCCCAGAAATAGCTAATAGCGTCTCTGTGGTTGAACCGTTACATGTGTAGCTGAACTAAAACATGTGCAGTTTAAACGAAACACGTGTGGTTGAATAGAAACATGTGTAGCTGAACTAAAACATGTGCAGTTGAAACAAAACACGTGTGGTTGAATTGAAACATGTGTAGTTGAACATTTACTAGAATAATAGCGTATTTTTTTGAAAATATGATATTTTGTTTGAACATCATATGAATCACAGGTGCGAGACGATACTTTTTTTAGTATGTATACATATGCTCGATTGAAAAGGGGAGCAAAGAAAGAAAGGAGCCCAAAAGGGAGTGATAATAATCATTTGACAAAACGTCACGTTTTATCTTTTTTTTTTGTAAATAAGTCATAGATCCTTTCTCAGTAAATGATTCAAAACAAAATAGGCCACATAAAGAGATTTTTTACCGTAAGAGAAATATGTGTCACAACTTTTGAGATTGGGACATCGTCTCGTCATTTATCATATTGAAAATAAATTACTCGAGTTAATAACAAGCACGTGACATCTAATTCTCACTTTTTATAAAACGTCTTATTATCCCTCTTGATAAATTTTCAATTTCTAAAATGCTTTATAAATTAATGCCAGCTAAAAGTTTTGTTACATAAAAAATATCTTACCACCTCCCCGAAAGAGCGATTGGAAAATGCTCAACATGAAGAAGAGGTAAATCAAACCTGAAACAAAAATACAAATTTGTCGTTTTAACATTTTTATACAAAAACGATTACATGTGACATAAAAACGATGTCATGTGACATAAAAACGATGTCATGTGACATACTAACGATCTCATGTGACATAAAAATGATGTCATGTGATTTATCATTTGACAAGGGTTTCTATCTTTTTAAAAATAAGAAGATGTGGTATAATTGCCAATGAGATAATACTCCACCGGTCGATACTTTTTGAATATTAGGTTAACTAATCCGTAAAAAATATCCAACAACATATATAGTATGAACCAATGGTGGATTTACTCATCAAAAATAAAGTACTGGCGAATACAAGATGGACAGGATGAGGGGTCCTTTATATCTTCATTTTTTTATTTTTTTAGACCATTGTTTCTTTATTATCTTTTTATTTTTGTCCATTATTCTCTGTTCTTTATAATTTTTTTTCGATTCTTTATATGTGTTGCCCTTTTTTCTGCACTTTTTGTCCATAAATCTATATTCTATAAACCCAATCCAGACCCCCATACAGTTTCATCTACTTTTCTGAAGATAAAAATGAGATTGTTTTTTTCTTCACGCAATTTTTATTATTGCTATACAATCTGAGATATAAGCTGATTTTGGATAGGTGTGACCAGAGAAAAATTAGCCAAAAAAATAAAGAATACAGAATGATGGGACGCAAAAATATAAAGAATACAGAATAATGGGACGCAAAAATATAAAGAATACAGAATAATGGGACGCAAAAATATAAAGAATACAGAATAATGGGACGCAAAAATATAAAGAATACAGAATAATGGGACGCAAAAATATAAAGAATACAGAATAATGGGACGCAAAAATATAAAGAATAACTGTGGAAAATAAAAGAATTAGGCAATACATTGTTGATTACAGAAAAGAACGATGTACAAGATAAAGAAATCCTCTATTTTTTTTACCTACTAAGAGTTATTTTCAAAGATAAAGATAACTGACCTGAACATTTAAAGAACACAGAAATTAAGCATTCCCAATTTTTATAAAATAATAATATATATATATATAAGAAAGTCTAAATTGAAAACAACGTTCAAACCTATGATTGCGTTGGATAAAACCCGCAATTTTTATACGTGTGCATGCAAAACAAATTTCTTGGTAGAGGGGTCTAAATACAGCACAAACAACATATTCCAAAAGACGATAAAAGTGAAAAAGTATATTTTAACAAAACGCATTTGACTAGCAGGTCGAACAACTGATGTTCTTAAACCCTGCTGACTGCCATTGGCGATTACCAAATAAACGGAACACAAGATGTAACAAAATGGATCTTATAATTAATTTATTACTAAACAGAAAACAATAAACTTGCGGAAAAGATGGTATACCGCAAACATGAGGTGCAAAAATTTGTACACCATATCCGGATTTCGACAATTAATGTCTCTTCAGTGATGTTAGGAATCGAAACGGTATTTGGAAGGCCATATAATTTACCTCAATTTATATATATATATATAAGTCTGAAAATTAAACCCCAAAGTGTTAAAATTAGATTTTTATGGTGACAAATGTTTGTCCCGAAATGGGATTTGAACTCACACCTTTGATACACTATAGCCCCAATTGCTTAGCCTAATGTCCAGCGCTCTAGACCACTCGACCACATCCGCTATATTTAAATATATCTTCAATAGTCGTAGTGGCGAATCTAGAGATAGACAAAAGACATGTGTTTTAAGCGTGTGTAGACATTATTTATTTATACACAATGTCTTTTTATTTGTCAGCAATCTAACTCAACAATTTTTTATATACGATTTATATATATATATGGTTATATATGGCGGTATACAGTTGATCTACCTTAAAAAGTTAATAGTCTAAATAATTGTATGCAGAATCCAGTGTGATAAATGTTTAATTTTTTCAACACAAATAAAAGAAACGCCTATAATACGTTATAATTTGATGAAGTGTATTTATAAGAATTTTAGTAGTTGTAAAAGAGAGGCGAAAGATACTAATAGGATATTCAAACTCTTAAGTCGAAATTAAACTGACAACACCATTGCAAAAAACGGAAAAAGACCAACAGACAAACAACAGTATACACAACACAACTTAGAAAACTAAAGACTGCAGCAACACGAACCCCACCAAAAATCGTTGATGATCGCAGGTGCTCCGGAAGGGTAGCAAACTAAGCGATAAGGAATAACTGCTACTTACCGAGTATTCCTCCACCTCCAAATCCAAATCCACTACCTCCTCTAGATACAGTATTTCCTCCTCTCCTTATAACAATTGGCTGGCCACCTCCTCGTCTAGTTATTGGTGCTTGAACTGGATATCTGTATGGTATAGGCACAACATTAGCCCCAGGAGGTATATTTAATCCCCTTCTACCCATAGGAGGTCGAATTCCACCAAAACCAGGACCACTAATGCCACCAATACTACCAATGCCACCAATAATACCACTGCCGCCTTGATAATACATTGCAGAAGTCTTGTAGACTAACGCTAAAAGTAGTACTGTAACGAAGGTCCTCATTTTTCCAGACTGCAAATAAGCTGCAAAGAAGCTACAAACATAACATACACCATTATTAGATTCATTCGCTCTAAAACTATTTTGTATCTACCTTACCTAAACGATAGATTTGATTTTGCAATTGTGATTTTAAATATCGTTAAACACGAGAAATTTCAAAGAATATCTCCAATAACAAAGGAACTAAGATATTAGTTATAATGTAGTAGTTACTTAGTACACGAATCTAATCATTGCATTAGAAAACATGGAATTATAGCTTCACAAAACTCACCATAAGTCAATTAAAGAACTGTAAATAGGTTGCAAAAATCTAGCGTTATATATAATGAATGACTCGTTTATAGCATGTTTTCACACGAAAAATGCTTTTACAATGACAGTTATTACCAGAGCATTTTTTTTTAATATAAACTAAAGTTTCTTGGAATTTCAAGATGTTTATCATTCTGTTTAATTGTAAATTGGAATGGCATTTTGCCTCAAGTTAATACAAAATGGTTTTCTGTCTTTTCGATAACTACTTTCACTTATAGACTGTTGTTTTGTTAGCCACATGCCTACTTCGATTCGTCAAACTCGCGTTGACGTGAGTAATCAAAACAGTGCTAACGCGCATTAGCGCAACCTTCCCGAATCGAAGTGAAAACTCTACTCGAGTTGACTCTCAAAATGGGAGATATTAATGTAGCAGCGGCTGTTAACTTTCTTTATAAAAATAAGGAGATGTGGTATGATTGCCAATGAGAAAAATATCCACCAGAGTTCAAATGTATAAGTATTCTTAAAAAAATTGACGAGCTAAGAAATAAAATTAATAAACATGCAATATATGCAATTACCATGTACGATATTTACATTAATTATTCTATAAATTCATTTTTTTCTGAATTACATCTTAAATTTTCATACCTGTTTTTTTAGCAGCACTTGATCAATGGTACGAAAGCACAGATGTCAGTTTAGCACGTGACCTTATATATACAAATCATGTCAATATTTGAGCCAATCAAAAAGACTATACCATGATAAGTTCCTTTTTGCCAATATAATCGTCAATCATTTTTGTGTATTTTGATCTGTTCTTCCGATTCGTGTTTACTTGTCGTAGTGCTAATTTAAAATTAGGACATCAAGTCTACATGTGACATCTTTTTAATATCTTTCCTTAGAATAAATGTAGAAAATGTCAAAAAGAGGATAACAAGAATCTTATAAAAAATTGATATGAAAAAAAAACTAGACGCGCTCAAAAAAGTAAACAACAACGAAAAACACATAGAACAGGGTCCAGAGATCTTAACTGGGTAAATGCACAAACTATAGCGGGGTTGAAGCTATTTAGTGTGCAGCCTAATCTACCTTCTAGCTGACTTTCAGTCACCGCTGTTTCGGAGTTTGGACCACAAACTTGAACAAGAAAATAACCAACGACGGGACATAGTTTTGAAAGTAGAGTCAAGATGTGCTCGCAACTACATGAAGCTAGCTAAGGTAGCCACATCTTCCGGATAAATTCTTCTGCTAAAAAAACCCCAAATCATATATAAAACTCAAAAGAGGTTGCTGCTGTCACGTTATAAATTTAAATTAAGTTCACTTTATAAATAGACATAAGACATAAAGATTTATTCAAAAGTCGTTATAAACAAGACAATAACAAACATATACTCTGAAAAGTTTTTAAAACCGACAAATGCGAAATAATTCAAACGAGAAAACTAAATTGTGATAAAACAGTCAGTGAAAAACAAATACAAGCCCCAGACACTTGGGAACGAACAGGACAAACCCGTTTTATGACGGTGACGAGTATAAATCACCATAGACGGCACATCGTGCATGTAGAGGTCAAATAACCTTTTTTTAATGTTTTTTTTTGTTTTTGTGTAAACAATATTTCATTTTGAAAATAATAATTTGAACATTACAATATGACAGTTTTATTAGGATTGGAAAACAAGTGAATTTTCACTTTTACAAGTTCCTCTTTTTTTTAATGTTCGGTGTCGTGTGTCGGCTAGGTGTGAATTTGGTGCGCTTGTAAAATTCAGGATTGTCCCTTTCATCTAGTTTTAAACTGTTAAAAAAATGGACACAACAATTTATAAATCCCATGAGTCCGAAGCGCTCTCCTGGATTTACCTTCACCAGGAACGCTCAAATCCGAATATTTGAAAGCCAAGGATGTATAAAGACCGAAACAGTTGAAGAGCTATATAAACCAAAAAGAACATAAAAATACACACACATTCCTATTGATGGATGTTATCAATTCCAATTGATTGCTCTATATTGATAAAATTGTGTTTTTGAGAAGTATATAAGAAAGTTAATGACACTTCTAAATTCGCCGTTTATTAATGTCTAATGTCGTACTAAGCTTTCAAACAGATAGAACTGGGCATCGTATCATAACTCAAATATTGAAGTACAGGTGGTCTATAAAGAAAATGTTTTTACTGCGTATGAACTTCCTCAATGTCATTTTACATTTGACCTTTAAGATCCACAGGTACCTTTAATACAGTGTTCTACGTTTGGGATTTTAACGACATTAGTTGATTGATGGATTGATTAATTGGTGTTTAACGCCACTTTCAGCACTTTTGGATATTTCGTGGCGGTCAGTTTTTGGTTTTTTTTTTTGTGTGGAGGAAGCCGGATGCCCGATGGGAACCACCTTAGGCAGGACAACTGACAACCCTTGTCAATAAATTTGGAAAAATATTTTTGTTCTACATGTACCAATTCAATACAATAAAGATTCTTTTGCAAATGCCTGGTGTCAACTAGCAATTGAATTGGGGAATTGATGTAAATAAACAAATCACAAATTTTAAGAAATATCATCAGTTTGAATTTTAACAAAAAATTATATTTAGGTGTAATAAGCTATTTTTATATTTAATTGTGATTGAAGGTGCCAACAATTCAAAAGAAAATTGTTCAAAATAGTTTTTTCATGTTAAAAAAATAACAAATGGAGAAACATCTTTTATTGTAGGATTTAAAAAAATAATAAATAAACATATAATTTGCTATTCCAATTGATTCGCAGTGTCAAATATTGGGTAAAGTAAGGCCACATTAGTTTATCGATGTTCAAATCTTGCAAATAGATGGGAAAAAGACAAATTTCGATGTTCAAATCTTGCAAATAAATGGGAAAAAGACAAATTAAGGTTACAAATAAAAGCTGAGGAAATCGCATGAAATCCCAAAAGAGGAAGACCGGGTAAGTGTTTCCTGCTATATAGAATAAGAAGATGTGGTATGATTGCCAATGAGACAACTCTCCTCCAGGGATCAAATGACGTATAAGTTAGCAACTATAGGTTATCATACGGCCTTCAACAATGAGCTCCGAAACAGTGGTAATGTCGTCTCTGCCACGCTACGCTGACTTTCAGATGTGCTCGCAACTACATGAAGCTAGTCAAGGTAGCTACATTTTCCGGATAAATTATGCTGCTAAAAAAAAACCAAATCATATATAAAACTCAAAAGAGGTTGCTGCTGTCACGTTATAAATTTAAATTGAGTTCACTTTATAAATAGACATAAGACATAAAGATGTATTCAAAGTCGGTATAAACAAGACAATAACAAACATATACTCTGAAAAGTTTTTAAAACCGACAAATGCGAAATAATTCAAACGAGAAAACTAACTTGTGATAAAACAGTCAGTGAAAAACAAATATGACAGACATGAACCAACAACAACCACTGATTTACAAGCTCCAGACACTTGGGAACAAACAGGACAAATCCGTTTTATGACGGTGACGAGTATAAATCTACATAGACGGCACATCGTGCATGTAGAGGTCAAATAAGCCTTTTTTTTAATGTTTTTTTGTTTTTGTATAAACAATATTTTATTTTGAAAATAATAACGTAAACATTACAATATGACAGTTTTATTAGGATTGGAAAACAAGTGAATTTTCACTTTTACAAATTCCTCTTTTTTTTAATGTTCGGTGTCGTGTGTCGGCTAGGTGTGAATTTGGTGCGCTTGTAAAATTCAGGATTGTCCCTTTCATCTAGTTTTAAACTGTTAAAAATCAAAACAACACTTTATAAATCCCATGAGTCCGAAGCGCTTTCCTGGATTTACCTTCACCAGGAACGCACAAATCCGAATATTTGAAAGCCAAGGATGTATAAAGACCGAAACAGTTGAAGAGCTATATAAACCAAAAAGAACATAAAAATACACACACATTCCTATTGATGGATGTTATCAATTCCAATTGATTGCTCTATATTGATAAAATTGTGTTTTTGAGAAGTATATAAGAAAGTTAATGACACTTCTAAATTCGCCGTTTATTAATGTCTAATGTCGTAAGCTTTCAAACAGATAGAACTGGGCATCGTATCATAGCTCAAATATTGAAGTACAGGTGGTCTATAAAGAAAATGTTTTTACTGCGTATGAACTTCCTCAATGTCATTTTACATTTGACCTTTAAGATCCACAGGTACCTTTAATACAGTGTTCTACGTTCGGGATTTCTGTGTTCTACGTTTGGGATTTTAACGACATTAGTTGATTGATGGATTGATTAATTGGTGTTTAACGCCATTTTCAGCACTTTTGGGTATTTCGTGGCGGTCAGTTTTGTTTTTGTTTTGTGTGGAGGAAGCCGGATGCCCGATGGGAACCACCTTAGGCAGGACAACTAACAACCCTTGTCAAAAAATTTGGAAAAATAGTTTTGTTCTACATGTACCAATTCAATACAATAAATATTCTTTTGCAAATGCCTGGTGTCAACTTGCAATTGAATTTTTGCGATTGATGTGAATAAACAAATCACAAATTTTAAGAAATATCATCAGCTTGAATTTGAACAAAAATTATATCTAGGTGTAATAAGCTATTTTTATATTTAATTGTGATTGAAGATGCCAACAATTCAAAAGAAAATTGTTAAAAATAGTTTTTTCATGTTAAAAAAATAACAAATGGAGAAACATCTTTTATTGTAGGATTTAAAAAAAATAAATAAATAAACATATAATTTGCTATTCCAATTGATTCGCAGTGTCAAATATTGGGTAAAGTAAGGCCACATTAGTTTATCGATGTTCAAATCTTGCAAATAGATGGGAAAAAGACAAATTTCGATGTTCAAATCTTGCAAATAAATGGGAAAAAGACAAATTAAGGTAACAAACAAAAGCTGAGGAAATCGCATGAAATCCCAAAAGAGGAAGACCGGGTAAGTGTTTCCTGCTATATAGAATAAGAAGATGTGGTATGATTGCCAATGAGACAATTCTCATCCAGGGATCAAATGACGTATAAGTTAGCAACTATAGGTAATCATACGGCCTTCAACAATGAGCAAAACCCATATCGCATAGCATGCTATAAAATGCCACAGAATGACTAATGAAAAACAATTCAAATGAAAAAACAAACGGTCTGATTTAGATGCCAAAACAAGAAACAAATAACAAATATGATATATAGCAACAAACGACTACCACTGAATTACAGGTAACAAACTATAAAAATCAGTTGAAAAGGGCTTTATTCATCAGATCAATTAAAAACCCCAAATAAACTAACAAAAACACTTTAGACCCAAAGTATAAATCTGAGAATACTCGCAGCAGTTACTGAAAGCTAATTCAAAGCCTTCAACAACTAACAGCAAAAAACAAGTATCTAAGACTAAAATATCAATCAGTACACATCCAACATCCGATCAATTTATAACTTTTCGTTTATCAAGTGAAGGGGTGGATTGAACCCATTAGAGAGCTGGCTATTGTTTCCCATAAGGTCTGTAGTGCTAGCAATTCGCTCCGTATTCTTTAAAACAATTTGCTATAATGAAGTTCTATCAATTTATTTTTTTTAAAACACGCCGTCCAATTTCTGTCCATCAGATTAAAACTGTAAACCTCTG